AGGGAGAGGGTCCAAACTCGGGAGCAGACAGTATAAATCTCTTAAGGCAGGAGCTTGCGTGGTGTTTTGGGGGAACAGTGAGGAGGCCAGGAGCCAAGTGAGCGAGTAGGAGGCTAGGAGGAGGTGAGGACAGGGAGGTGACTGGGCAGATCATGCAGGACCTTGTGGGCGGTGGGGAGGGAGGCGGAAGCCTGGGAGGGTTCTGAACAGATGGGGCACATACCACAACTTGGCATCCAAAGGTGTCCTATGGCCACTCTGGAGAAAACAGTGTGTGGGCAGCCTGAGGGTGCGATTGCACTATTGTGTATCGACCCTGGCCTTATTCCTTCAGTGTTGCTAGAGGGTTTGATGAGATGTTGCCTGTGGTGGCCAGTGGTCCTTGTGGGTGATCATGACTGAGGCCCCGGAGCGTGGGGACTCTGCTGACATTGTGCTAAGGTCGCATGGCCACACTGAGGCTTTGAGTGACTCCAGAAGGGTGTGGTGATAAGGAAGGGATCCCAGCCCAGAGCCCTTGCCGGGTGCCTATTACCAGGTTGGTCAGGCAAAGGGTGGCCCGGGCATTCACTGGATCTCGGTTGGGCTTGTTGCTGACTCATCCTCTGCTGGCTTATCTGTTTATTTTCTCTTCCCTGGGAAGGCCTGACCACCTGCCAGTCTGGGGTGTTGGCCTCCGTTGTTCCCCCCTGCAGGAGTTCCCATGCCCTTGTTGGCTGGAAGTCAAAGGGCTCCTGTTGGGGCCTTGCGCTCTGTTCAGGGTACATTCCCTGAGCCCTCATCACCTTCCAGAGAGAGGTGGCCCATTTTATTTTTTATTTATTTAAAATATATTTTTATTGTTCTTTTACAGAGAGGAAGAGAGAGGGATAGAGAGTTAGAAACCTAGATGAGAGAGAAACATTGATCAGCCACCTCCTGCACACCCCCTACTGGGGATGTGCCCGCAACCAAGGCACATGCCCCTGACCGGAATCGAACCCAGGACCCTCGAGTCCGCAAGCCGACGCTTTTATCCACTGAGCCAAACCGGCTTCGGCAAGGTAGCCCATTTTAGAGTTGGTAAACTAAGGCTCCACAGGGGTGAAGTGACTCATGCCAGGTCACACAGCCAGCTGGGCCCTCTTTGGTGGTTGGGTGGCATCCTCCCATTCCACAGGTAGCTGAGCCAGTGTTCAGAGAGGGTGGAGACCTGTCCAGGGCTTGTGGAGGCAAAGCTGACCTTTGAACCCAGGCTGTCTGGCTCCAGAGTCCATGGACTAGACCTCCCCTGGAACCTGAATTGGTGCGTGGAGGATGTACATTTGGGAAGAAGGGGTACATTTTACTGCATCTGTCGATAGGTGAATGAGGAGGGCCTGTGGGGAAGGATTTCCTGGCAGAGGGTACAGCCCTGTGCCTATTTCCTGTTTGCTGGTACCCAGCTGTCCTCTGAGGTGGGTGGAGTCACACACCCCTCCACCCCCTTACTGACGAGGAAACCAGTCCAAGAAGCAGGAAAGCCAGCCCAAGGTCATACAGCCTGGGTGCATGGTGGCCCTTGTAGCATTGGGGAAGAAGGAGGAGGGAGGTGGAACCTTCGGGCCACAGTGAGGGATGTGGTGACCCGTGGAACATGGGTGGGGTCAAGGAAGAGGAAGCAGATGACTGAAGCTTGAAACTCACCTCCAGATAAATGGACAGTCAGAGCTGTCCCCGCAGAGCTGCTTGGGGGAGGTTTTCTTCACCACGCCGCCGTGAAGGCCCCAAGAGCGCCCCTGCTGCTGTGTGCCAGGAGTGCTGTGGGGGGCCTTAGGACACAGCTGGGCAGGCTCCTCTTCACCGAGCCCCTTGGAAATTTCTGGGGGCTGCTTTTTGGGGGCTGAACAGGCTGAGAGTGGGTATTGCTGCTCCCTTTACTCAGCAGTCCAGGAGCTTCTAGAAATGCAATGAGATGAGTCCCAGAGCTCCTGGCTTGTGAGGACCTCCCTGTCTGCTCATCCTCGTCCTTCAGGCTTTTCCCCAACGGGCTCTGCCTCCTTCACTCAGGCTGTGTCTTCCACTCATACTTCCTGCTCACCATGAAGTCCCAGCCACAGAAAGCCACCTTCCCCTGTGGGTGCCCAGAACTGTGTGGTTTCTCTTGGGCATCATGCTAGCCCTCGTGTTCTCAGGCTCTCATTGTCCAGTTGTGGTGTCATCATTGCGCTCACGGGCTGACACCATCGCCCTCCTCCCCCAAGACATGCCCAGAACAGTCACAGAGGACAACACGTACCAACGCCCGTGGCAGAAGGCCTGGCCCTGGCTGGGGAGACGCTGGCGGCTTTTGTGTCAGATGTTTGGGCCCAGAGGCCTGATGACCTGGTGGTCAGAGGCTCAGACCCCATGGGCTACAGTCATGCTCACCCCACTCCTGATCACTAGGTGACCTTGCAGAGCTGCCTGTCCTCTGGGCCCAGTTGCAGACTCATCTTTGTGGTTCTCGTCATGGTTAAGTAGGTAAATCCATGGAAGGTTCTCAGTTCCCGGTATACAGTGAACACTTAACAACAGTTAACTACATTTTTTTAAAAAGTAATTTTTCGGAGTCAGAAATTCATAGGGTTGATAATGCACAATTCAAAGATGTTCCAGAACATGCAATGACTTTTCCCTCCCAGCAGGCCCCAGCCTCCATGGGCTCCATTTTGTGGTTGTTTTTTCCTTTAGTTGCAGAACACACACACATTTCTGCATCTTTGTTTTCCTCAGTATATCCATATGGAAGTCAGATAAAAAGCTTGTGTGTGTGTGTGTGTGTGTGTGTGTGTGTGTGTGTGTGTAGCTCCACAAGAGTGTGAATGGGCCCTAATTTATTTAATTAGACCCCTATCCTCACCCCGTAGGCTTTAAAGTTCTTTAGATCTGAGCTATTTTTACTGAGGAACTAACAGGATTGTAATGATTTTGTGGGAAAATTTTCATGGGTCGTTCTCTCTGTACTTTCCTGAGGATTATTTATTTATTTTTTATTGATTGATTTTTATAGAGAGAAAGGAAGGGATAGGAAGGTAGGGAGGGAGGGAAAGGAAGAGGAAGAGGAGGAGAAGGAGAAAGAAACATCGATTTGATGTTCCACTTATTTATTTATTTAGTTTTAAAAATATATATTTTATTGATTTTTTACAGAGAGGAAGAGAGAGGCATAGAGAGTGAGAAACATCGACGATAGAGAAACATCAATCAGCTGCCTCTTGCACACCCCCTACTGGGGATGTGCCCGCAACCAAGGTACATGCCCTTGACGGGAATCGAACCTGGGACCTTTCAATCCACAGGCCAACGCCCTATCCACTGAGCCAAACCGGTTTTGGCAGTTCCACTATTTATGCATTCATTTTTTCTTTTTGTATGTGCCCTGACTGGGGCTTGAATCCTCAACCTTGGTATATCAGATGATGCTCAAACCAACTGAGCTCCCTGGCCTGGCCCTCTACTTTCCTGAGTCATGAGCATGTCCTCTTGGACTTATTTATATGTGTGATCTTTTATTGAGATTTAACTTAGATACAGGAGCTCGCCCAATCTTAAGTGTATACTTTGATTTTTAAAATGAATGCATGCCCACCCAGTAATCACTGGACAGATCATGACAGAGGGTGCTGTCATCATCCCAGAAAGTTCCCTCATGCACCTACCAGTCAGTTACCCCAGAGGGAAGGAAACAACTGCTCTGATTTCTGTCAGCAGAGACTAGTTTTGCCTGTTCATCTTCAAGTCTACTCTGTGCCTTAGCAGGTGAAGCAAGGGCATATGTCAACAGAAGGCACGAGCGAGAATGTTCACTGCAGCTTTATTGTGGACCTGAACTTGGAAAAAAACCCAAATATCCCATCGCCTAGTGAATGGGTGAACAAACTGTGGTCCATTCATTACAATGGAAGATGGGTCAGCAGGGAAAAGGAACTGTCTCCTCTGGCACTCTCTAGGGTCTCAATAGGGCTCCCCAACACAAATAGGGTGCCCCTGAGACACTATAATTGTCACATTATTGGGGAGCAAAGTGGCACCAATGGCACTAGGCTGCGAACTCGGGGCCACTGTTATCTTGCCACATGAGGCACACCTGTACACCTGTCCAGCCCCACGTGCCCTATGTTCTGCACAGATTTCAGATAATCCAAATGTTTATCTTGGTACAAGATACCTTGTTTAAAATTCCCTGAGTCTAGATAGAACCTTTGCAGGCTTTAAAAGTCTCAAAATGCCACATCTACTTCAGTGCCTGCTTGGCCTTCTGCTCCTTTGCTTTCCTTCCTTAATGGTCCAGGGTGGCTTCCATTCTTCCCGCTCTGCATGAATCCAAGTTTAATAGTGTGAGTCGGTGTAGGTAGTGCCTGTGTATTTCTGTATTTAAATACATGGCATATATATTTTTTATTAAACAGCTGTGCTGAGGAATCATTTACATTCTAGGAAAGTCATCCATTGCAAACGCAGTGATTTTTTGGTAAATTTACCGTAAATATTAGTAGACGTCCCCACAGTCCAATTTTAGAACATTTTCATCATCCCTGAAAGCTCCCTCCTCTCCATTTTCCACCCCTGGGCAATCACTGATCCACTTCCTGCCTCTATCTGTTTGTCATTTTGGGACAAACATATCATATTTTGTCACCAGCTACTTTCCTTTTAGCCTTTATATCATACATATGGCATTATATTATTTTAAAACATGAATGTAGGAAATGTACTGATCTCTTTGGGTCTGGGAGAGATGATTCAAATACTTAAGGAAAGCGCCTTTTGGCATGCTGGGGTGGAGCAGCCAGCCAGAGGGAAGTGGTTCCATTTGTTACCAGCCTTCTGTCATATGCCTCCCTCCTGCCTCAGGATCCTCCAAGGCCAGAGCATTCCCCAGGGCCCCGCTGGGGTTGGTGTCTTTGCTGAGGTCGGGGATTGCGCCACCATGTGTGGTCACACTTCCTGTCCTGTCAACTGGCCTCATGAGTAATTTCTGTTCCTTTCTCCTCCCACAGGGACTTCCTTCCTCGAGGTTCGGGAATTGTCACCCGGCGGCCTCTCATTCTGCAGCTCATCTTCTCAAAAACAGGTATGGTGGGATGAGTCAAAGCTTTATCAGGAAGTGAAGGGGTGGGGGAGGGAGTCATTGTATTCTGCAGGAGCCAGGGGTCTTATGATGAATTCTCTGATGTTTGGGTTTGAGTTCATGTTTTTCATGTGTGCAGGGAAGTTGAAGCACAGTTCACTGAACACATACACCTACCCCAGCGTCCTCAGCCATTACCAGGCTGCCGGGTACCATATGTGCTTGCTGTATTGTAGATAACGTGTCTTTGCTGAATGCTTTCAAAATCAGTAGCAGACGTTGTGACACTTAACCCCAAATGCTTCAGTGCCCCATCCCTTGCAATTGGGCCATTTTGCAGTCAGAACCGAGATAAGTAATCAGTCCTGCATGTTATTTAATGTCCAGTCCATACAGGTTGCCAGTTGTCCCCAGATATCCTCCCTGGCTGATTTACAGCTGCTCTGATCAAGCCCACGCTACACTCCATTGTTATGGTTCCTGTTTGTATTACAGCAGCATCTCTGCCATTTCTTTTCTTTTTTTTTTTTTTAGCCAAAACCGGTTTGTTTTTATTTTACTTTTTAAATCAATCTTTATTGTTCATATTATTACAAAGATTCTTCATTTCTTCCCCCCTCCACCAGGTTCCCACCCCACCCTCCGCCCCCTCCCCATCCCCCATTGTCCTCATCCATAGGTGCAGTTTATGTTCAGTCTCTTCTTCCCTCCCTTTCCCCAATAGTAAATCCCTTTTCAGATAGTAAATCAGTTACTTAGCATTTTCTCATATCAATAATACCTCCACATGCCCAATGATACACTTCACACAAAAGACATTTCCCAATAGGTCCACCAGCCTCATCCAGGCCCCACCCAAGGCACTCACAGATCAACACCCCAGCCCTAAACTAACTCAACACATCCAGATCTAAGCCTTCATCACTTGATTCAGCAGACCCTCAAGTTCCCACGAAAGTTTCCAGCCATGTCTGAGAAGCAGCCGTGGGGCAGGGGCAGGCGAGGAGCGAGCTGTTCCGGGCCTGGCTGCTCAGGGCCTGGCCTCTGTTGCTCTGGTTCATTCCACAACCAGCTGCTCCGGGTCTGGTCACTGCCGCTCCCGACCCAGTTGCTCTGGACTTGGCTGCTGCTGCTCCGGGCCTGGCCGCTCCCAGCCTGGCAGCCGCTGCTCCGGGCCTGGCCGCACCCAACCCGCCTGCTCCGGGCCTGGCCGCTCCCAGCCTGGCAGCCGCTGCTCCGGGCCTGGCCACACCCGACCCACCTGCTCCCCCGGGCCTGGCCGCCATTTCTTTTTTTTTTTTTTTTTTTTAATTTAATTTAATTTTATATTTTTTATTGATTTTTTTACAGAGAGGAAGGGAGAGAGAGATAGAAACAAAGATGAGAGAGAGACATCGATCAGCCGCCTCCTGCACACCCCCCACTAGGGATGTGCCCTTAACCAAGGTACATGCCCCTGACCGGAACCCTTCAGTCTGCAGGCGGATGTTCTATCCACTGAGCCAAACGGTTTTAGCTCTGCATTTCTTTTCTTTTCTTTCCTTCTTTCTTTCTTTCTTTCTTTCTTTCTTTCTTTCTTTCTTTTTTTCTTTCTTTCTTTCTTTCTTTCTTTCTTTCTTTCTTTCTTTTTAAAAATATATTTTATTGAGTTTTTACAGAGAGGAGGGAGAGGGATAGAAAGCTAGAAACATCGATGAGAGAGAAATATCTATCAGCTGCCTCCTGCACACCTCCTACTGGGGATGTGCCCGCAACCAAGGTATATGCCCTTGACCGGAATCGAATCTGGGACCCTTCAGTCCGCAGGCCGATGCTCTATCCATTGAGCCAAACTGGTTTCGGCTCTGCATTTCTTTTTTAATCACAACATTGACTTTTGGGAGAGACTTGCAAAAGGAATTCCTTTTTTTCTTTTCTTTTGAGCTCGAGGCAGGCTCAAGACAGCTGATCAGTTGCTTGAATTGAATAAAGAATCTTCCACATGTAGATTTTTTTTTTCTATATCCTCCATGGTGACCTCAAGTTTATTTCTGTTCTTCTTGTCAAGTCTTACATGACATGGGCATGTCTTGCAGCTTGAAACCCACTCAGGCCTCTCTCGAAAGCATCAGAAGGTGGACTGGGTGAGGGGAATATCTGGGGTGGGTCCTCCTTTCTCTCTAGAGCCCCCATGGGTCTCAGTGCAGTCTCTATGCTGCTTCCCCGCTGACCTGGCGTGGCAGCCCTGGCCAGTTCAGCACTAGAAAGGCAACAGCAACATCCATTTTACAGGCGGAAACTGAGACCTAGCCAAATTACTTACCGTCCTAGTGGGCTCCAGATCTGAAATTTTAGGTTAGAGCTCATAACAGGCTCTCAGCTGTGCCCTAATCTCATCCTACCCATTTGCCATGGGAGGCGTGACTCTGATGAGAGGCTGCATTAGATTGGCCCAGCTCCTCTTTCTGAGGGTTAGCCAATGGGCTGCCTCCTCTGGGTTCAGCTGGCCAATCAGCTGTGCCAGGACGGGCAGCTGCCGAGCAGAGTGTTTCAGAGTTCACATGGATTAGTCACAGAGGACTTGGCCTACTGGGTTTCTGCCTCCCATTTTGCAGGTTGTTGAGGTAGAAGGGTGATAATCTGCTTTTTAATGAGTTTCCAGGGTAGTTTCCTGGCCATACTGGGAAATCCTCTGACCCTGTAGATGGGAGCTGGAAGCTAAGGCTGCCCAGGTTCAGATCGTGGCCCAGCAGCTTACTGGCTGGCTGTCCCTGGGGAGGGACTGCTGCTCACAGCCATGTTTCCTGCCTGAACTGTGGAGATAATAATAGCACCTCTTTGTTGTGGCGAAGACCATGTTATTCAGTCTCAGTACATCTTAGAGCACCACTGAGTAGTGCTGACCCAACAGCTGCAGTTTTGTGCTTGCTGCCAGCCTGTGTGGGGACAGCTTGCTGGGAGAACAGGTGGGCGGGCTCCCTGCACTGGAAGGTCAGGGCCATGTCATGGTGGAAGGGCTCTCATCACCTCCACGGTGGCTGTCATCCAGTGGAGGTCCACTGACCATGTACCATGTACCACAGGCTGGTCCAGGGCTGGGGCACCCAGGTAAGCAGGATCAGGACCTACCACCTGCCCTCCTGGTACTCCCATTAGAGGTGGGGGACAGATGAGGAAGACTCGTGTGAAGGGACAAAGGGTGAGACACAGGCCTGGCCTTCATCAGATGGGAACAAGTGTGGTGGGGGAGGGTGGGGACATCAGGGGACTATCATGAACTTTTTTTTTTTAATTTTTTTATTTAAAAAAATATATATATATTTTATTGATTTTTGTACAGAGAGAAAGGGAGAGAGATAGAGAGTTAGAAACATCGATGAGAGAGAGTCATTTATTAGCTGCCCCCTGCACACCCCCTACTGGGGATATGCCTGCAACCAAGGTACATGCCCTTGACCGGAATCAAACCCGGGACCCTTCATTCCCCAAGCCGACACTATCCATTGAGCCAAACCGGTCTCGGCTATCACGAACTTTTCCAAAGAATGAGTGTGTGAGTTGAGGCTGACAAGTGCGGTAGGTATGTCGGGGAAGGGGAGCTCTCCTTCCCAGCAGAGAGTATGTGTGAGGATCATGAGGTCCCAGTGCCCAGAGTGGCCTGTTGGAGGAACTGAAATTCCTTCTGTGGGGAAGGAGAAGCACATGAGGAGCAGTGCCCCAGTGGGAGCACCAACTTGACCCAGATGATCTGCCTGATGCAGATTAACATTGAAATCTTCATTCCTGCCATCCCCACTTCACAGAGGTCTGAACTGAGGCCTCAGAGCTGAAACCACTTTCCTGAGGGCACGATGGAGGGTTATCTTGAAAGCCCCATCTTAAATTCACTCTTGGGAAGTGTGGCCATAGACCAAGGTGTGACTTGACCAGATCCTTTAGTTGCTTGTAGGGAAGAGACCACAGGGACCTGCTCAGGGGCAGGGGATGCAAGAAGAGGTGGGAGCAGGTGCTCTGGGACAGTAGGGACAGGGTGGCAGCCATGGAGATGGAGATGTAATTGGATCCTGTTGGGTTGGGTGTGGGAGAGGAGTCCTGGTGTCCCACATGGGAGTGGCCTTTGCTATATCCCAGTTCCCATACTCCCCTCCCCACCTGATTAAGGCATTCTAGGTCTCTTAATGACCCAAGTAGATGTGTGGCTATTTTGTGCTGGGCCTGGTTCAGACACCGGCGAGGCACTGTGAGTCCTCTGAGAGTCCTGGTGCTCCCTGAGCCCAACCAGGCTGAGAGGGGAAAGCAAGAGCATTGGGGATAGTATACTGGGCACGGGTTCTACTTTGGCCCAGAAGCTCAGAGGAAACACTCTAGGCAGGGCCAACAATGTGTGTGAAGCTGTGAGATGGGTCTGGGGAGGGACCAGGAAGCAGGTGGCACAGCCTGTCAGGGGCGGAGAAGGATTCAGGCAGTGGGAGCCTGAATGGCACTCAGGGTGGGGAGAGCAGCTCAGCCCACTGGCTTTGTGGAGGAGGGATAGGAGGTATGCGCTGGGTCCTAGCCGGTTTGGCTCAGTGGATAGAGCATCGACCTACAGACTGAAGGGTCCCAGGTTCGATTCTGGTCGGGGGCATATGCTGGAGTTGCAGGCTCAAGGCAGTTAATAATTCTCTCTCATCATTGATGTTTCTCTCTCTCTGACTCTCCCTTCCTCTGAAATTAATTAATATCTATATCTATCTATCTATCTATCTATTTATCTATTTATTTATTTATTTATTTATTTATTTATTTATTTTTTTTTTTTTTTAAGAGTATGGGCTGGGAGGCCAGGGAGAGGTTAGCCTGGCAAGAAGTGATGGGGCCTGGCCTGAGGTGGTGCCTCAGGTGTGAAGGGCAATCTAGAGTGACCTTAAGGTGGGAGGCCACCAAGATACCAAACAGCAAAGGCCCTGGGATTGGGGTAGGCAGGTGGCAGGTGGCAGGTGGGATACCCCACTGATATGAGGGAGGAAGTTCAGTGCAGTGTG